AAAAGGGGGTTTGGGTTGGTTGGGGGTGTTGGGTTTGGGGGTGGGGGGGGGGGGGGGCGATAAAGAAAACGTTTGTTACAGCTATAAACCGCTAATTTTGTATACTGGTATTTGTCAACAATAAGACTCTTAGCTCATCTGGTGCGATATTAAAATAGTGCTAAAATTGAATGCAAGAATCCTGTTAATGTTTTAAAGACTTGGTGTTCCAGTCTGACACCAGGTTTTAGCTCAAGGGTTTAGATTATGGTGTTTTTAAACGATTAGTTCTGGTAAAACACCTGTAGCTGGTGTGTACTCTGACTGTGTAGCTTCATCCCTGGTGAAACGCAGCCTTGATTTGCAGGGCCAGTTTTTAACAGTAGCATCTATTATCTTAGGGCCGGCTTGGAAAACTGTATTCCAGCTGTAAATTGTTTTGTTGGTTGTGTCTTGATTTCCTCTTAGAATCTGAGCTTTTTTCACTCTTTATAATGAGGTTCACAGTGGTGGAGAAAGGCTCGCTGCAGCAGCTTGAGGCCTGACCGTGTTGTGTGACCTGCTAAAAAACTCTTTGTGTCTGAAGCAAAATAACTATTTTATTCTGCAAGTTTTGTCTGCAGTCAGTTCAGTGCAAGTGTGTTGCCATTTGTTTTAACACTATTTACACAGAGAGGCCACACTATTGCAAATTTTTTCAGTTTTCTAGTTACAATTAAACACTTCAATAAAATACATAGAGCATATACAGAATTGTAAAGATTTAGTCTTGGTTTCTTTGGAGGCAATGCAAGTATGAGAAGTTTTATTATGGTAATTTCCAAGGAAATAGTGAGCTTTTTCTGTGATTTCATCCGGGGAAGTAACTATTCTGACCTTAACTGTGCAAAACATGCTAACATTAGGCTTGTACTTTGGCAAACTGCTGCATAAAAACAGCAAGAGCAAGATGTAAGTGTATTATAAAGAGTGTAGTTGTATGTTTTGAGACAACATTAAATTTACAAACACAGATATACACATGGGTAAAACAGACAAAAAAAAAAAAAAAACCTGAATTAGTAAATTTTACCTGTGCATATAAAACTTGGGCTGCCTCCATGAATGAGATCATCATTGTCAGGGAGGACAAAGGGGCAGCGCTGCTGAACCTCCAGGCAGTACTGGCCACAGGGGATTCGATTGCTGCAGTGTATCTGGGTGGTCTGGAAGTACTGAGAACACAGCCAGGGCTTATAAACCATCTAGGTGAAAGACAAAGAGGTGAGAGGATATTGATGCGTTAGGAAATGTTTTTTTTTGGATGATACTCACACATAAACACGCACACACACACACACACACACACACACGCATTTATACCACGCTCATACACCGTCATGACCTCTACAGCTATCGATTCACACAAGGCTGTGCAGTTATCCTGTTGATCCTAATATCCACTGTTTAATGAATGTGCTTGTTGCTGGGCAGTCACCAGTTTGTCAGTCAATACTGAGGTATTAACCAACATCCTCTCTGAAACACAGCATCACCAGGTGCACGGCACAGATTTCAGAAGGTTGGCATCTATTTTTAGAGCCGATACAATGGTGAGTAAAACATGACATAAAGAAGCACTTTTATAAAATCTTAATATAAAAAAGCCAACTGCAGCAAAAATGCAGCCTGAGACAAAATCAAGCATTTAAAAAAACACAAAAATTGTCTTTTTTTCTGAAAAAAGTTAAAAAAAAAAAAAATTAGAAAGAATTGTTTTTTTTTTTAGAAAAAAAATAAACATTTTTCTAAAAAAAAAAAAAAAAAAAAAAAAAAAAAAAAAATAATTAAATAAAAATATATATATATATATATGCTAGGTCTCAGTAAAAAAACAAACAAACAATGAAATGAACTAGATGCTCTTTATTTTCTGTTTTTCTTTATCCATATTGAGTTGAGAGAATCTCTCATGTTTGCAAGGACTGAACCCAACAAAGCGTTTAAAGTCAACGCGGTCAACAGATCTATCTTAGAGCCATTGCAGATGTTTTCCTGAAATGGCCTTCAATAATTTCGGGTTTTAGACACAGTTAGAAGAAGAGTAGTCTTATTACAATGTGTACCATCTTACAGAATAAAATGCAAATTTGACCTGCATTCAGAAATATTTGTAGGACATTCTTAACCTAAACTAATTATCCTCAAACCTGAACGTGGGTGGTGGTAGGTGTGCATCATTTACTCTTTTAACAGCCATTCACAGCAACAGTATGAGTGGCTCAAAACTTACACAGAGTTAAGGGCAAGGACTTTTTCCATAACATGGGCAAAACAAGGAACCAACCCACAAAGGCTTTGTCACCCCCGAGCAAATACATTTCCCAAAAGGGGAATTCCTCCTTTAGCAACACAGGCTACAACCAGAGGTTATGTATGGCATTGCTTTGGTCCCAGCTGACCTGTCAGTCTCATGGGAGACAGCATAATGCCCTCTCTTTTACTCCATGGAGAGGAACTATTCCCCTGTGTGCCAGGACATAAGGGTACATCAATTGCCAGGTTCTATATGCTGCTGCATCATTCACTTCCTGCACCTGCTCCTACAAAAATGTGAATGGAAGAAGAGGCTGCCTGTTGTCCCCAGATAATCTGTCTGTTAGAGATCTCACCCCATCTTGAAAGGCCACACTGAGACCTTCCAGCACAATGGGAATGCTCCCAGGGCATCATGCTGTAGGCTTTGTACAGATAGAGTTTCCTTCCCTTTCTAACAGTGTGTACGTTAATCTGGGTGTAGTAATCTGGAAGTAGCTCAAGATATATCAACTGGGAAAATGTGTTTTAAACTACATGCTGTTTCACTGTTTAACCAGTGTGTTCATAAAACACAATTTCTTTGGATTGTTTCAATGTAATGAATATTCATTATTTCTAAGGGCTGGATGGTATAGCTAAAAAAAAATTTTTTTAACATCAATAGTTATTGATTAGTTTTTTGTTGTGAATGTCAAAAACTTTTACGAACTGATTGAACGTTTTGCGTTTCATCCACAGTTTTCACTTCTCTGCGTTGTTGTTTTATTCTTATTGGTAACACTTTATTTGAAGGGGGGTGAATAAGACTGTCATGACACTTTCATTAACATGACATAACACCTGTCATGAACATGAATAAGCCTTCATGAATATTTATGACTGTTGTCATAAAGCGTCATTCGGTAAATTATGACACTTTTAATACAAAGTTGACATTATTCAAAATGTCTTTGTTATGACAACTTGACATTAACCAATAAATCATTACTGATATAAATTTGTTATAAAAGTATTACTGATTGCACTTTAAAAAATAGGTAACTTTATGTTATTAAAGGTAAAGTTTGAACAGTAATGATTTCTTGGTTAAGCAGCTATCTGGTAAACTTTAAAGTGCTGCTGGGCCAGTTACTCAACAGGTTGCTGCTAGGCAACCACAAGTTACTCAAAAGGCTGTTGCTAGGTAACCAAAGAGTTAGTCAGTTTATTCCACTATTCCATTCAGACCAATGAATAAAATGTATCAAAACATAAAATTATATATATATGTTACATTTTAATTTAAGAGAAGACTAGCTCACATTTTAGGTTCAGCTGCATGAAACAAACATTTTTGGTTTTGGTATATAATTCAGTGAACAAGCATCTGGGCTTCTTGGACTTGTGATTCACAGTGTGAACAAACACTGCAGTAAGGTAGGACACACATAGCACCTAAATAATATAAATGACAAATCTTATAATATCAAGGTGTACTCAGTAAAGAACACAGTGAGCTTGTGTTTAGGCCCAGAAAATTTGTGCTGACAAATGAAAAAACAAACAAACAAAAAAAAAAAAACAAGCCTTCTAATCCAGCCATGCAAAAAACATCAATATGCATTTAGCTTATGACCCTCTGCAAATGATGAAGAGGAGACAAATCATTTTTGGTTAGTGCCTTATTGTTAAGCATGTGATTAGGTGCTCCCTTCATTGTGTGGTATTATCATTTGCGGCAATTAACCAATAATTTTCGAGAAGTCCTCAGAGGACTGTGAGGCAAGCTGGCACCTGCTGGGAGTCATTTATGACATGCAAAACAGCACAACTGAACATAGACCCTCTGTCACGTTAGCATGCATTTTGCTATACTTGTGAGGCTAAATATGCACTCAGATAAAAATGTGTACGTTCATGTCACTGCTTCAGTTTTAAGTGCATTTCGTTTATCTTATACTCCAGGAAAATCTGAGGCAACTCAAAGTCAAACTTAGAAAAAGAGTAAACCTATTCAACCAAAATATGACAATACCAATAAATCAAAGATAACATGAAGAGGTACAAGTACAATCACTCAATAAGCTGCAAAATGATGTCTAATTTTAGAATAAGTAGTCTTTCACTTAAATGGTGACTTGACAAAGAAGATCTAGTGCTTTAACTTTGTAACACCAGCCTTATTTTTTAATTAACTTTAATCTGAGGAAATATCTTCTGCATTTTGTCTTTAAATAACAGGTTTGTTTATGGCAAGAGCTCAGAGTCTTTGTTTTGTGTGAACGACTGGGGTCAACAGTGAACAGCACAATGTCAAGTTAACCAGATCGAGAGTCAAGGAGAACATCTCCTTATTATTCAGTATCATTTCATTATTCAGCAGAATCCCAGGAAAACAAACTTGAGGGCATGGTGTTCATCTAAATCTCAGTCAGGAAACAATTTTTTGTTGTTAATCCAGGTTTTGTTTCTAGTCCTTGTTTTCTGTGCATATGAGTCTATTATTTCCCCATCTCTATATTCTATTTTGTAACATTTTTTTATTATTGTTGAATAATTTTCTTTTTTTTTTTTTACATTCTCAACAGATAATCCTTTAGAAAGTTTAGAAAGCAAAAGCTGGTCATAGCATGGACAGAGAATAAGTGCATGAGAGAGAAACATAAAGAACCAGAAGACAGACAATCATGTCAATAATCATGTCCTCTTGCCCGTCTAAATTCACATCCATCTGAATCCCTAATTAATTTCAGACCAGTACTATTTATTCTAATCCAGTCTAAATTTAATCGCATAGTGTGATTTAGATTCAATTACAGTCCGATTCAACCTTAACCTTCTCTCAGTCTTAAGAGATGAGTTCGTTTAGATCCTACCAGTGTTTTACTCTGTGCACAGTCTGCCAGAGTAACATTGACCCTGTGTGCGCTTCTTCCAAGTTGCTGTCCGACCGTGACATTCTCCGCGCTCCTCCTGAGCGTCACGCTAAAACGGCGGGAGGATTAAAACAATACAGTGAATAAAACTTTAGCCTTATTGCTGAACTCTGAGCCCCTGTGATAATACTGATCCAATGTGAATCTCAGAAATGGGCAGGATCAAAAACGCAATTAGGCAGTTTTTGTTTTCTTGGGTGCATTTTTATTTGCCTTTAGCCAAGAATGGAGGCTGCATTGGAGTGCATTGAAACCCTTTTTGACCCGCAGCAAAACCTTTTTGACACGAACGGGTTGAACATAAGGAGCAAAATCAGATGCAAATGGCGAATCACATCATGCATTGCACTGTGCTAAGAACCATTTTCTTCTGTTTGAAGCCTTGTGTTATACAGCCAGCAGTGACACAGCACCAAGCTATGGAACATGAACTCATGTCATTCCTCGAGTCAACAAGAAATTGCGTGTTAACATCATATCTGGGAGATGTCTGTAAATTTCAGCAAAATCTCAGTCTTTGGTTATCCCTTGCAGGCGCGCCACATAAAAAGCAGACATTGCGGAGTAATGTATTTATTACATGATAATGCTCATCCCGTGCAGATAGGGCTCTTGTTTCATATCCTGATTTGGTTTCTCTTAGCCAGTCACTAATGCCAGATTATTCCCCTTGTTACACATGCTCATATTCTTTTTCTCCTGTTCATTCTGTACTTCATCTAACATAATGCTGTAATTCATAATTCTTTATATTTTTTAACGGAAGCATTTCAAAACAACAGGTAAGCATGAAGGCAGGTCGAGTTCAAAAAGCATCAAAATCAAACAAAGTGAAGCAGATCAGGACTGAGACAAACGTCGCATTTAAACAAAGCCATAAAAATCAGGGATAAATGTCAGCTTGTGACATAAGACTGTTTGATGTAAAGGCCTCATTTCATCTGCCAAATGGTAGCCAGGGCTTTCTGAAAAAGTAAACAGCCTTTTGATCCTTCAGAAAAAAATAGGACTCATAAAAATTCTCTATTTTA